TTTTTTTAAAAACAAGTCTTGAAGCACAGGAAAGTTCCTGAGAGCGTACGATATGCCAGTATTTAAATAAAATAGTCTTTAATGGGCCAGCGTGCTTCAGGCAAACTCACAGAAAGGCCAGTGTAGGCTGCAGCCATTTAAAGGCTTACAACAGAAGGGTGCAAAGTTCTATTAAAAACAGCCTTTAAAAAACCTCCTTGCATAGTATTTCAAAATGGGTCGAGAAGCCACCTTACAAATTTGATTCTGAAAAACAATTACTAAGGCGCTAACTTGTAGGGCGATACTTCACTGCAGCTATGCATACATGCACTCTCCCTCTCTCCTGGTGCCTGTAGTAAACTGAGCTAGTATTTTCTCAGCACACCGCTTTCTCATTCTGCTACAACTTGCACCACAGGATAACCTGCACTAGGACGACTGGCACATCAAATTGTCCTTAGACTCTCCCACTTCAATATAAAAAAAAAAAAAAAAAAAAAGCAGTTCTTCGAACGGAAAAGTCTGAAAACTCTTGACTGAATCCGTCCCATCCCAGGACAGGATCTGTCCGTATCTGTATCAAACCTAGTGATATTTACTTAAACTGTTCTTAAAAACTTCCTACGATGGAAACTCCAAAACCTTGCCACAGCCATAACTACCTGAAGGCTTAATTCTCCTTAAAAAGAAAAACTGTGGCCCAGCTGTTTTTTTGCTGTATTTAAGCCCCTTCTTAGATTATCCGATTGCCAAACACCATAAATTCCACTTCTCTGTATTTTATGAGGAAGGTCACGAATATAACTTGCTAGCAAAACTCTGGCAATAAAATACAGTTCTAAATATATTATGGACAAACCCAGCACTGTCTCCCTTTTCCTTGCTCAGGAACCTCACTCCTACTGCAAATGTCAATCCTGTTTCTGCAGTAAACAGGACATCTCTAGCACTCCTCAGCTCCATAAAGAGGGAAATATTTGTTTTTAGAAGGTATTCTGTGAAAGAAACTCTCTTTTCCAAACAGCTAGTTACAATGAAATCAACAGGAGCACCTGCAACTTCCGACCAGGTTCTCAGAATGTTAGAACATTCAAAACTCAAGTGTTAATAAATATATATATATATATCTCCTGATTGTGACACCACACATAATTGCTTTTGTCCTGTATTCATAAGCAACATTAGCTATTCCTTTCATGAGTGGAAGGAATGGCAACTTTTCTCTTCAGAATGCCCCTACTGTTAGAAGACTGCAGTGACCTCATTAAGAGTTATTTCCACAGCTACTAGGCTGTTTGCTTTTGAGTTACCGGCGGTTTCTCACGGAGCAGTAAGAACTCAAAATAGCTTAGCATGGGCCAAGCTCAGGCCGCTGCCACCCATTTTTCTATAGTTATTAGCTATCAAAGGGCTTCCTGTTGCCCTTACTAGGTTTCCTCCCTAATTTATCTTCTGTGTCTTGATTGACAGTGGAATTCATTTGAATCAGCACTGGCTTTCTCTGACCCATACACAATGCCTAGGCCAGTCCCCGGCCTCTCTAGACCTGTACAAACTATGGCAACCACCATCCCTCCTGGCCGATGAGCGTTTGGGACACAGGGCTGGCTGAGCCACCCTGCCCAGAGAGGACTTTGCTCACAGAAAGAGCAAGAATTTAAGTCTCGAAAGGCCTTAGCAAGCAGAATTTTCTCGTTGAGGAAAGCTTCAGCTGAGAGATGTCATGCCAAAAGCAAAACTCAACTATCTATTATAAACTTTGTTCATAATCCAATTTTATTGACTAAAATAGCCCGCAAGAGCACAGGGAACAAATATTCATTTAGCCATGGCTGAATCATCCGGAAATATGCACCGAGATGTCACTGCGCGTTGTGTAAATCACCGTCAGTACTGCAACTGTACCTGAACTACTGTGAGTGCTCAGATAAACACCTCTGCGCTGGTTTCGTTCAAACTTGTGTATTTGCTGCCTGCATCACCATGACAAAGATTTAGCGTAAAGTACTGAACAGATTATGCGTATAGCCTATGTTATAGCATCTTCCTGGATATTGCCTTCAGCTAGCTGAAGGTACAGCTCTTCCTCTTGCAGCCACACCTTCTGGCTTTGGGGTACACATACGGCGCGGCACCAAACGACACGTTTAGATCACTGCCACAACGGAGTGATGAGTAATCCAGGACTGAGGGAATATACAAATCTGCCCTCCTAGTTATTATACAGACACAGTTAATTACAAAGCTTTTTCCCTAATTGAAATTATTCTGCTGTCACTTCACATCGGAGGATTTAGCCAGGAAGAGCAGAAATAAGAGAACCCCAGTAATCACTTGCAACAGTGAGTTCTGCCAGCCGTGCAACGCTGCACGCAGAATCCTGTCCTGAATCTTCAAAACCCCCTACGAAGTATAAGGTCCAGTTATTTTCATCTTGATACGTATCACACCACCCAGCTCTTCTCAAATTTCAGGCTGCGCATTTCAAACTCTCATTTATCACAGAGTTATTTGCTATTGTTCTCATTGACTGACTTTTTCTTCCCGTAACTCCAGGTAATGTTAAAGCTACCTACTATCATACCTTCTTTAAATGGGTAGAAAGCAGATCCTTTAGAACAATAAACAACCCTTGTTTTTCTGTTCTCTTATTTATTGTATACAAGTTTAGCCTCGGACCTCTACTCATTTTTGATGCCACCAAGTACAATTCAGTCAGTGTTGCCTTGACTTTGAAGTTTAGCTGCCTAACATGCAGCATTTTAAAACCATGCTCATGTAGATATAATCCACACTTTTCAGTGGTGCTGAGTACCTAAAATTCAGCCACTTACATAATAAGGGGGCCTAACTGTATGGAGTTAAACTGAAGGGAAAAAAAACCCAACAGAACCAGAACAAAATTCTCAGTGACTAGTGGCAGCAAATTACAAATCGAACCATTGTACTACCCCTTCCCCTTTCATTACACGCTTGTCTCTGATTTTCCTCAAGCTCCTGCAAGAAGTATAACTCGTAAAAATATTTGTGAAATGAGAAAATGAAATATTACAGATTTGAAAAATCGCGTTGATCTGTACGTATACTTCTTGACACAGGGTATGGGAATTTTTATCCCAGCTCTCAAGCCATCAAACAGCTTCCCTGACAAATGCTTGTTATCCACTCTACGCTCCAAACAATCAATATATAAATCAGCAGTGGTCCTTCCCAAAACCACCTTTTGCATAGTTTGTCTCCCTTACAAGTAGTGAACATCACAGATCTTTCCTAATATTGTTTGTTTATTCAGTCATGTTATAATAGCACCTAATGATACCAACTGAAGTTGGTGCTTCATAAGAGCAAACGTCCCTGTCCCAAAGATCTTAAAGTCTTAGGAGCTTATAATCAAAACCTCAAACTCTTTTAATTGTTATTGTGCAGAAGAGCGAGCTGATAGAAGAAAAATAACCCACAGCAGACTGTATACTAAACACAACTTAGTCATTCTGAAACGCTTCCACAAAGGCATTACAGCAGGAGTGACAAGCTCACTTCATTTGTCTGCAAAGGTTCCACACCGCAGGAGCTCCGCATCCGATTTGTTTATCTGCTACCATCACAGGGAGAAAACTATTTCTTATCACAGCGATACCAACAACTTTGTGTTAGGCCACACACAGATACTGATGTTTAGCTGTTTGGACAAGCATTTTTCCTCTGTCAGCCATTCTTCATCCTTCCAGGAAAAACAGGCAGCCGGACCTTTCACTTTTTTCCAATTATTTTGGAGTAATTTGCATAACGCTATTACCATTAATGTCCCAGCTTACAAGCACCTGCTGTAGAGCAGCATTTCCCTTTCCAGACACGACAAAATTGAAAAAAGGATAAAAAAACAGAGAAAGTGCCAATGAGATACTAGTAAGGATAAGAAAGTTATTGCTCCATAGATGATTACTAAAACCACAAAATACCTAGGGAATGATGGGTTAAGGAGTCTGTAGAGGAAGAATAATTGGCTTGCATCTGCAGAATAAACATCATCATACTTACTACATCTCTGTATCTGAAGCCTTCTTCCCTGCCTGTAAGCCTTTAAGGACACGGAGCTATCAGTAACAAATAGCTAAAGCTCCAGAAATGCTTTTGGACACTTCGTGATAAACCCTTCTAGGAAAAAGTTACCATATGCAACTTAAACGTATTTTAAATGCATCATCTGGCTGCACAGCCACATTGTATCACGGGAACTTCAATCCTCTTTATTTAGGAGGACAACCCCTGCTGTTTGTCCTACTGCGAGTCACTGCATCTAGAATAAAAAAAAAAAAAAAAAAAAAAAAAAAAAAAAAAAAAAAAAAAAATTTAGGGGAAAAATTTTTTCCCTTTTTGGAAAAAAACCCCC